CGCCAGCGTGGTGGCCCCTGCACTTGAGACCTGCGGAGACGACACGGTGGCTCGAGAGGACGGATGCGCATGTCGGTCGGCTTAGAGACGGGTTGCCGTTGCGGCTGGCTTAAGGTGCAAACTCGGATGACACGACCGCGACCCGTGAGGAGCACGGGGCGGCACCGTCTCGGCCTTGCCCGGGGCCGAGGCACTCCTGTGGGAAGGTCTCCGATGGAGCATGAGGCTTACGGGGTCGTTAAGGCGCAGCCACGGCCGGCCGGGCGGCTTCCCGGAAGGAGTGGGTTGTTCGGGGCCGGGACATCAACGCAAGGAGTGCCAAGAGGCGGAGCCGAGATGCGTACCATGCGGTGGGCCGCACGAGTCGCTCGGCCGAAACTGTCGTATGCGGAACTCTCGCAGCGATGAGTAACACCTTGAGCATCTTACAACTTAATGTGCGAAAGCGAGAGTTGGTTCAGCAAAGCTTGATGAACGACGACACACTCAAGGACTATGGGGTTTTGGCGGTCTCCGAACCGTATGCGAGGCTGGTGGACGACAAGGTGGTCACGAGCCCGATGTGGCACAGCAACTGGACGAAGATGATCCCGACGCAGAAACATGATACCCTCTGGCCGATTCGAAGCATGCTTTGGGTACGAAGCGACATTGAGGCGGAACAGCTGCCGATACCATCGGCGGACCTCACGGCGGCCGTGCTTCGACTGCCGGAGAGAGACGTCCTGGTTGTGTCGGTATATGTGCAAGGAAGGAGCGTGGAGATGCTGGCCTCAGCCACGGAGCTATTGCACGACCTGATCCGGTCATTTCGTGACAGTACAGGTAGACGCACAGATGTGGTTCTGGCGGGAGACTTCAATCGCCATGACCTGCTTTGGACTGGCGACGACGTCTCGACTAGGAGGCAAGGTGAGGCTGAACCCATCATAGACCTAATGAATGAGCATGGCCTTCGTAGCCTGCTCCCGAGGGGCACGAGAACATGGCAGGGTCAGGACCGGGAAAGCACCATCGACCTGGTGTTGGCGACCTCGGAGCTGGCGGACGAGATGGTAACATGCGTCCCGCACCCGATGGATCACGGGTCAGACCATCAGGCCATCCATACGACCTTCGATGTAGCGCTGCCTGAGCGAGACACGACGCCACGATTGATGTTCAGGAACGCTCCTTGGAATCTCATCAGAGCAAGAGTGGAGGAGGGTCTCGGGGCGCTCTTGGGGGCGGCTGATGTGCAAGCACAGACGGACCAGCTCATGCGTGTGGTCTTAGAGGCGATCGATGATCTTACGCCACGAGCAAAACCTACGCCGTACGCCAAGCGCTGGTGGACGAGGGATCTAACAGAACTACGCCGGTCGTATATGTTCTGGCGAAACCAGGCTAGGTCGCAACGGCGGGCGGCGTGCCTCTGCCCGGACCTGGAACGGCGAGCCAAGGCGGCAGCCAAGGAATATCACGACGCCATACGGAGACAGAGGAAGGCACACTGGGAAGACTTTCTGGCCGAAGATATAAACATCTGGAAGGCAGCCAAGTATCTTGAACCTGGCAAGGACGCCAGGGGTGACAAGGTGCCGCCACTGAAGAAAGGTGGCGGAACCATGACCAGAAATAAGGCGGAACAAGCAGAGCAACTGCTCGACACGTTCTTCCCCCCACTACCAGCGAGAATCGAAGAGGAAGGGGTGCGTCCACAACGGCGAGCAGTAGCCATGCCGGCTTTGACTCTGGAAGAGGTCGAAGTCAAAGTCATGGCAGCGAAGCCGTGGAAGGCGCCCGGAACCGATGGCCTGCCGGCGATGGTGTGGAGACAGCTCTGGCCAATAGTGAAGCATCGCGTTCTGACGCTCTTCCAGACGTCGCTCCGCGATGGCGTCGTGCCTCACCAGTGGCGGACAGCAAAGATAATCCCGCTAAAGAAGCCGGAAAAAGGAGACTATGCGGTGGCGGGGGCGTGGCGACCTATATCCCTTCTGTCAACGTTGGGCAAAATCCTGGAAGCGGTCGTCGCGGAGCGCATTTCGTATGTGGTGGAGGCCTATGGGCTGCTACCTGCGAACCACTTCGGGGCGCGAAAGCGGCGGTCGGCCGAGCAAGCACTCCTCCTCTTGCAGGAACAAATCTACAAGGCGTGGAGAGCTCGGAAAGTGCTAAGTCTGATCAGCTTCGATGTCAAAGGCGCGTACAACGGAGTGTGCAAGGAACGATTGCTGGAAAGGATGAAAGCCAGAGGGATATCAGACCAGGTGGTCAGATGGGTCGACGCCTTCTGCTCTGCTAGGACGGCCACGGTCGTCGTGAACGGGCACACGTCGGAACTGCGCGACTTGCCACAGGCTGGTCTACCACAGGGGTCGCCGTTGTCGCCGGTGCTGTTTTTGTTCTTCAACGCAGACCTGGTACAGCGGAGGATTAAGGCGGCAGGCGGATCAATCGCATTCATTGACGACTACTCTGCTTGGGTGACCGGCTCAACCGCGGAGGCGAACCGGGCAGGCATTCAGTCAATCATTGATGAAGCACTCGACTGGGAGAAGCGCAGTGGCGCGACCTTTGAGGCGAACAAGACGACGATCGTCCACTTCACGCGCACCAGCGCGCGAAGCAATGGTGTGGCGTACTGGATCAAGGACAGGGAAGTCATACCCAAAGCCAGCGTAAAGATTCTGGGAGTGATCATGGACTCCGGTTTGCGGTACCAGGAACATATCGCCAGCGCAGCCGCGAAGGGCCTCAACGCGGCCATGGGCCTGAGGAGGCTGAAGCTGCTCTCACCGAGGGTAGCGAGACAGTTGTTCATGGCGACTGTCGCCCCGGCGATGGACTACGCGTCGAACGTCTGGATGCATGCGCGTCGGGCGAAAGGAACGGGCTGGCTAAACAAAGCGCAGCGAGTTGGTGCGCAGGCCATCACAGGAGCGTTCCGAACCGTGGCAACTGCTGTGGCCGAGGCCGAGGCCGGCATCCGCGCAATAGGGGAACGGCATAAGCGGGCTGCGACGAGGCTCTGCATCGACCTACGGACGCTGCCGCGGGCGCATCCGCTGGCAGCACTGAGGAACAAAGCAAGCAAGCGGTACCTCTCGCCAATGCAAGGCATTGCCGCGATGGTGACTGAGATGTCCACGGAGCGAATGGAAGTCATTCACGAGTATGCATTACGACCATGGACGGACCGTATCCCTGTGCTGGGGGAGGATGACCCCGAAGAGACCCAGACACCATATGACGTACAGGGTATCCTCATAGCAACCGCTTCGTCGCAGAGGGACGACGTTGTGGGCATGGGAGCCGTTGTTTGCGACACAACGCGTGGTGGCCTAGACCACACTCTCGCCACCTTTTCCGTCACCATCGGACCCGGAAGTGAACAAAATCCGTACACAGCAGAGCTAGAAGCGATAGCGACAGCGCTCAGATCTATACCACCAACCACCGCCCTTCAGGATGTGACAATCGCGGTTGGCAACCGCTCGGTAGTGGCAGCGATCAGGCGCCCTCGGCAGCAATCTGGACAATGCACTATCCGTGGGATATATGATCAGATGGTGCGCCTTCAGAAGAGAGGTTGTACTGTCAGGCTTAGGTGGGTACCGGCCATTGAAGAGGAGTTCGCATCGCGGCAGTTGGCCAAAGCTGCAGCGAAACGAGCCACGGTAAGGGGATGCGAGGCAGCAATGTCATCGTACCAGGCGAGGACGACGACGCTCCGGATAGCTCTCGCCCAAGAACGAGCGCTCGAACAACTACCGGAAAGCGTTGGAAGGTACTCGAAACGAATTGACAAGGCGCTGCCGGGCAGGCATACCCGTGCGATATACGACTCGCTGAAAAGGGAAGAATCGGGTGTGCTGGTGCAGCTCCGCACCGGCATGATTCGACTGAACAGTTATCTCCACAGGATAGGAGCAACGGATTCGGGCTTGTGCGATTGTGGACAAGCGACAGAGACGGTAGAACATTTTCTTTTCCGGTGCAAGAATTGGACAGCACAGCGGGAAATCCTGCTCAAGTGCTCACGAACAAAGATTGGGAATCTGTCTTTCTTTTTGGGAGGAAAAGCTGCATCGGATGACGACAGATGGGAGCCAAACATGCAGGCCGTGCGTGCGACGATCAGATTTGCAATTGCGACGCAAAGGCTGGAATCGACTAGCGTCGCTCAGGGCGTGGATCTTTAACATGCGACTATACTAACAAAACAGCCTCGGCTGTGGCAGAACGTGCTTCAGTTGCTGAGAATAGGATGCTGAACACTTGAAGAACTTGGCCTTCAAGCAGGCCTGCCATGGAGTCAAGAGCGACGAGGTTGGCTTACAAGTGGTGCGACGATTTATCTGTGGGGCTTGGGGTGTCACGTACAAAACGAACCAGATTGTCAATTTAGGTAGTGTCAGGGCCCTATAGGGACTTCCCTCCGGGCGTAATAAATACCAACCAACCAACCCGAAGCTGGCTGTAACTGGCCCCGGACTTGGCCCGGCACCACTCGCCCTCCCGTGTGCCGGGGCGTGTCTGGGACCTGTGCGAGTTGTAACCCCTGATGATGGCGTCGAATGTGGCATACCGAACAGTCGTCCCCTACTTCCTCCAACCATCGGAATAACATTCGTACGCGCATCCCCTCCTCTTGACCGAATCTCTTCCATACCTGATGACCTCCTTCGCTAGCTATGCGCGCATGGTCCTGACGGCGGGAGCATCCGTCACATAATGCGGCCCCGGCGATGACCGCGCACGTCTCGTCACCTACCCCATCCATATATGCCCCGATGACTGCCCGCCGGCACCCTGGTGTGGAAAGAAACGCATCGATCTGGGCCTGGTTACTGGCGTCCACGAAGCTCGCCTGCTCGTCTGGCCGGCCTGGTCGCCCGTCGTGTATGATGACCGAAGTCACGACCTCCCCCGGACGCCGCCCGCCCCGCCCTGTCTGCTGCACAAAGTCCACGAGTCAATACGGGCGCTCCATGTGCACCACGGCGACGATCCCCTCAATATCGATGCCCGTACCGAGCCCTGTCGTCGCCGTGATCCATCGGTGCCCCTGCCCGGCCGTCCAAGCCTCCCGTACGAGCCGCCGTGCATGTGTGTCCATCCCGCTGTGGTGAAACGCCATCCGATGGCCTCGGCCGCCGCTTCGCATTGCGCCTTCGATCGACAGTACACGACGCCTTTCTGCTGGTCCACCATGCGGTAACTGAGTCGCTGCACGGTCGCCACCGTCTGCGCGGCGACCGTCCCTGGCTTCACCGGCTGCACTTCATACTGGCAGTTCATCTTGGTCGTCCGGTCTCGAACCGCCACGGCCCGTCCGGCCAGCATTTCCTCGCGGAAACAGTCCTCCACGGGAACCGTGAGCGTCGCCGTCAACAACACCAATGGACACCCGAAACGGTGTAAGCCCCGCAGCGCCCCGGGCGCGGTACCCAATGTCCGTGATGACGGTGTGACACTCGTCCACAAAAGTCCGCTGGAGCAGCCCCGCGTGGAGTAGTCCGTCGGCGTACGCCAGAAATGCCAACGTACCGACCAAGTCGGCACTGACGACCACAAGTCGCGCGGCGCGGGGCGGCCCGTCTCGACCAGCGCTGAGCGCCGACCCATACTGAAGACAGTCAACACCGAACGCCGTCACCCGTCCGACCAAGTCCTCCATCAGCACCTCAAACGGGACGACGACGATGCTGGTGCCGGTGTCTGCCATGATGCTGGGCAGCATGAAGTATGCTCTTCCCGGCCCCTGTTGGCAAGATGTGGATCGACGTCTCGTCCGTTTGGAGGCGTATAATCTCACGCATACTCTCGGCCTGCTTCTCCGATCGCCACGTTGCTTCGGAACCGAGCAGCTTTCGGAGTCCTGCGGTTATGGCGGCCTCCAAGTCGGGACGTGCGACCACGGTCGTTGTCTTGGCTCGCTTTGCGCCTTGACTGGGAGAAAGCTCGGGAACCGGGTCGCCTGCGCGTTTCGTGCCCGTCTCGCCGTCCTGGCCCTCCTCGTCTTGCAAAAATTGATGCCATAGCCCGCTGATCGCCCTGAACGTCGCATTCATCGCTGGCTGCAAATTCCCCGGGGTCCCGATGTGGACCGCATAGTGCTGCCGTGCCACCTTGGATCCGTGCGTCGCCTGGAGATCCCATACGATGTTCCAGCTGCCGCCGCACTCGACTGGTTCCCCCGTCAGCGGGTCGATGTCGACGTCGTCTTCGCCGGTATCCTCCTCCACGATGCACGACTCCATCTGGTGCATGGCAAAGCCCCGGATCCGTCGGCTTATCTTAATGGCAATCGGCCGCGCCACCCCGATACGAACCCTAATATCGGCCTGCAGCATCCGAGCCATGACGGCACTCAGCCGGGTGGTGTCCCACGCCCGTGAATCGCCATCGCGCCACATGAACTCCAACTGATCTGTCCGTGGTTCGGCGAGCCTGCGTTCAAACGGCAAAAGCCATACCACGTACGTCACCATCATCCGCCCCATCGTGTCCGGTAGAAAGCGCGCTACCTTGTGACCCTGACCACGGATCGACTTCATCTTATCCCGGTCCGTCACCAGCATCACCTGTCCATCCTGGATAAACAGATTCCGGAGCAGTTGCCACGAGTCGCAGTGGCGTAACGTCGTCAGCTCGGGCCCCGCCCTGGTTGTCCACCCTAGACATGCGTGAGTACCATCAGCGTCTCGCGGAAGAGCCGCACTCGCCGTAACCACATCTTGGCGGGACGTACCTTCCACCGGTTGCGCGTGGCATCCCACACGGAAGAGCCCAGTAACCGCATAATCATTTCGGGCCCTGTCTTTAACCACGAACTTCTCGGGCTCGTCGCAAACGACTGACGGTGGCAACAAAGGCTTGCCGTCGTGATCATTGATCTAGGATTTTTTTGATTCTTCGCACCACCCTCACTTCGGGGTTTAACTACCCAGACCTGGGGATCGCCTGGCACTGAAGAAAGCTTAGCCTAGGCGCAAAATCTGAAATTACCTATCGATTGGTAACAGCTTCGGTGACGTCTCAGCAGAAAGATTGTTCCCACCAAAGCACCCAGCCCTAAAGCAGCCACCAAAAGACTGCTGACCAATAAATGATCTGCAAAATAGTTCAGCGCTCGCCCATCCGAGCCGTGCCACGACCTGCCAGCACCATGCCCAATCACCATCCTTGAGTACCTCTCCTCCATCAGCGCCAACCCATTGGTGGCGGGATCATACATCCAAGCGTACTGCTTGAGGGCCGATGTCACCATGATCGGCCCCGTTGACCAAAAGACACGGAGATAAGGCAGCAAGATGCGGCTCGATACGGGGCCGCCTCGTCGCTTGGCTTCCTGGAGGGTCCATTGGAGAAATTGCGACCCCTTCCTAGCCATGAAGAAGTGATTGCTCAGGCTTAGCGTTCCTGCTGTAGGAGCGAACACTTCCGTCATGTTTGACTGTTGCAAACAACGAATCGCATCGACCGATCTCGGATGTACATCCAGGTCGGCATAGATGCCCCCTTCTGCGTGGACCACCACCAGTCTGGCCACGTCGGCTCGCTGGATGTCCTGGCCGTAGCCCTCGTAGGTCGATAGAAGCCATGTGTAGCGGGCTTTGATGAGTGCGAGAACGTCGTCGTCTGTCCACAGCTTGACCGTGTAGTTCAGGGGCTCGAACGTTGTCTTCCACGCCTGATGTGACGCTGCTGCGGGATATGAGCTCACATCTGTCGTCTTCCGGATCTGGTGGATGAGATTTGGTACATTTGTACTGTCGATGGTGTCGGAATCCTGATGTTGGATAGGATTTGGTGAGTAGCACTGGTCGATCAATCTCAATGACCGGCTGGAAAGTCTTAGGTCGCTTGTGTAGCTGATTTGATGAATGATGACGACTGCGACGAAAGCCAGCATCAAGGCTAATAAGGCCTTCCGCGTGGTGATCTGTAGAAGTAGTCTCATGCTGCTGGAGAGCCCATACAGATGACGCGGGGAAGAGGACTAGTCGGTGGAATGAGTATCGTTTGGGGGATCCAGCGTCAGGTCGGTTCGAATACGCCTCATCGACTCCGTTAAAGTAAACATCTGAGAGAAGACGGATCATGGGAAAGTGGAAGGGCTACTAAGCTATATACACGATGTATTTTTGACTTTACTTCATAGGCATGAACTAATGCCGAGAGCTTTGACGAACGGCATCCCCTCGACTTTTGCAACCGCACGAGCCATTTTTTTTATGTACCTAGAGACTCAGGGGGTTCATTGGGAATACCTGCTGAGCGCGAGACCCAGTGCAATGCTATGAGACCAATGACCCCGACCGTGCTCGCGTGATCTTGTCGGTGCTGACCCGGCACACCATCATGCTGGTCGCTTAGCTACCCCTTCAGTAGTACGAGATCCAGCCAAAGGTGTCGTTTGGGTTGACTATGGACTTCTAAATTTCTGATTTAGGCCACAGGATAAGGCACACACCAGGGTGACCGACGACAAGGGTATGCTCGTTTATTTTTGGAAGCCCCTATTTTGTTACCCAGGCTCACAGCCACGAGCATTTATTCTTAATGTCATGTCCTGAAATTCAATGGAGATTTTGGCTCGTTGCCGAACGGCCGGATCGACGTGCAATTGGGTGGTACCTGTCTCTATCATCGCGAGTCACGCTACTATACGGTGGCTCAGCTAGGGCGGGCAGCTGTAGCACGGGCCGATGTGGAATCACTACTTGATCTCCAAGAACAAACCAATGGTCACCGCAGATCTGTGGAGTGTACATGTGATGTTCCAATGTGCTTCCACTTCGGAGTCTTGCTGAAAGTTTGAAATCGTAGCTTGAGCAGCGAGGAACAGAGTCCAATTTGTGGCCCATGGGCCCGATTTAGCCCCGTTTAGTGACTTTCAGCTTGATCATGATACAAGCGGCCAGGCAGCCAAATTATGGCTTTGACCCGCCTACATGGTGTGATTTCAATTGAAGCATCCCCACCTGTGTGGTCCAGAAGTTTCAGGCACCAGCCTTTGGGTCCTTTGAAGGTAAACCTTCGTATCCAACGAGATTGGATGATCTCTCGACTTCGAGAATAAAGACCAATCGTGGTGTCACCAACTGTTGAGTTCTAACGACGAGTGAGAATTTCTTCCTATTACGACATGGTTTTCGATGCTGCTTCACGCATTCGCGAGGGATCTTAGGAAAATATCGGATACCCCTGCGTCCGAATGTTACTCCATCTTCCCATGCATTATATTTAGACATCCCATGTTGAAACCGCCTCGAGGCGATTCGACACGGCAAAGCTAGTAATGTTCTGGCACAGATGTGCCTTGTGCCTGCTCAGGCGATGTAGGTAGCCTCGGACTATCACAGCCTCATTCGGCGGGCAAATCGCTCCTCGTCTGCAGCGTCCGCCAGGCAATGATTTGGCGCTTGTTAGCGCAAACCACCTACAAGACGTTGCCATTATTTGCTGGATTTTCGCCCTCTCCGTAGGTTCCTCCGCACGGGTTGCATCTAGAACAGCGAGTTTGGCCACGCGATCTCTTGCAGTTCGGAGCGGCGCCGACGACCTGATGACGCCCTCCAGCGCCCGGTCCAGCGGGCCCAGGACCGCCTGGTTGTCTCGGTGCTGCCCGAAGAACCAGCCGACGTCGGTCCTGCTGAGGTCGTCCTTGAGCGCCGAGGCCTGGAGGCGGGGGAGTGCGTCGGCCCCGAAGAGCAGCTCGTCGTAGAGCAGGCGCCGCGCTCGCGCCATCTCGGAGGCGAAGAGCGTCCGCACGTCGTCCTGTCGCAGGTGCACGTCCCCGTCCCAGGCGGCCTGGTGAGGGCCGACGTCGTCCCGCGCGACGGCTCTGCAGAGGAGTCGCCATCCGAGGATCTCCCCATGGGCGTCTCTCGATCGGGCCGCATGTACCTCTTGCAGTACGTATTAATCGTCGCTAGGATGCCGTGACGTCCGCCGTCGTCGTCGTCGCCGTCGCCGCTGCGTGGGGCCGCCCCGACCGAGGCGCGGAAGACGACGAGCTGGGCCGCCCATACCAGCCCCGACAGGAAGCTGCTGAAGGACCCGGCGGGCCGCCATGCCCTGGTCTTCACCTCGACGCTGTGCATGGCCGCGAAGCTGAGGACCACTGACCGGTAGCGGTGGCTGCCGTAGTCGTGGCAGAGCAGGTCCATGGAGAAGGTTAGAAACGCCTGTTTTCAGCGCGCCCTTTGTCGTTGCCTGCACGGGCGAGGCGCCAGACGACGTCCCATGCCGTCCTCTGTTACTTCGTTGGCCGTATGCAGTCCTCGGGCGTCTGTGTCCTGTCCTCCTTGCTAAAGTGCCTGCCGCGATGTATGACGTGCAAGTAGAAGGAGAGGAGCTGCTTCCAGTACAGGAAGTTGGTGTTGACTGTACTGCGTGCCTTCTTGGGGTCAAAGGCGCGCATCTTCTGCGTGACCGAATCACTCGTTCGAAACCGGCTCAGCGCCAGCTGCCGTGGCCACGTCAACCGACACTCAGGGCCGTCGAAGCACCATCGATGCGTCTCGGTGAGGACCTCTTCCATACCGTCGAGGATGGCGCCAAGCTCCGGTTCTTCACTGCTGATGTCGTCGCCCTTCCGCGGTACGGCGAAGGCCGCCTGGATCTCCCCCTTGCTGAGGCCTCGAAGGTGGTCGGCGATGCCGGTCCGCCCGAGCCATGGCACTACGGCGGACCGATGACCGTCGAAGCCCCTCTACGACCCTCGCGCCCGCCTTGGCATCCTCGTCCGCCGCCTTCGCGTCATCGTCGAGCGACCGGAAGAACGAGGCCTCGCCTGCATCGAGATCGCTCTCCCTACCCTCACCAGCATCTACAGTCTGGTCTGTATTACCGCCGACGCGAACGACGAAGTACCGTATGGCGCCCGGCTCGGAAAAGAACGTCTGGAGCTTGCACGCCTCCCAGGGAACCGGGCGCTGCTTCATCTTGTGCGCGCTAGGCTTCTCTTGATGTTGCTTCGAGATATGCCGGTGCATCCCGGGGAGGTCCCGTGTCAGGAATGCACCGCCTGACTCACACCGCAGGCATCGGAAGCCGTCGTGGGTCCGCAGGCCCGGGATCGCCTCAGTCGGCCATCTCTCAGGATGCTCACCGGGCCGTCTCGCGTCGTGGCTCGCCAGCAGGCGCACGAGCGCGCGTCGCCGTCCGCCGTCTAGGTCCTGGTGGGGCCGCCCACGGAGGTGTCTGTCGAGAGCCTTCTCGTCAGGCCGGAGGGCGTATTCGCACGTTCGGCAGAGGATGACCTGCCAAGCCGGCAGATACAAAGGCTCGGCTCCTGTCCGTCCTGGTGCCGCTGTTGTTGCCGCCGCCGCCGTCGCCGTCGTCGCCGTCGTCGTCGTCGTCGTAGATGGTGTCTGTGGCGTTCGTCGTGTTGGTGGAGCCGATGGTGTTGATAACGTTGGCCGTCGTTGCCTCGCCATCGTCACCGGCGTCGGCAGCATAGCCGGCGTCGTTGGCGTTGCTGGTGCCCGTCGCGTGTTAGCATCGCCCAGCCCGTGCCCCGGCGGTCCTCTGACGGGGCCCTACTATAGCCTGCATCCTGGCCCCGCGGGCCCTTCGGTGTCGTTGGCACCATCACCTCTCTTCGCCCCGTCTCGCTCGTTGGTTGGGGGGGCGGCCTCGTCCGTCTACACGTCGTCACGTCGTGGGATTACTCTTAATGTTGCACCGTCGCCAACGTATGATGGAAAGGAAAATAGGGAAAAAATGTTAATGAGTGGTCTTTGATCTATCTGTCTATCTATCTGTCTATCTATCTAATGGTCCTCCCACCCTTCCCTCCCGCCTCGAAGCAGCCACTACAGGGCTGTTCGCGCCGTGACGCGACCTGGGCCAATGTTGATCTGGTCTCCGCGGTCGCGCGACACACCCTAGTCCTCGCACCGACCTTTCTTTTTCCTCCTTCTCTTTCTCTTCTCTTTTTTTCTACCGCTATTCCTACCACCCCTTCTCTACGTCTGCAGTAATAATTATGGGACCAGCCATCGAGAGGGAATGATTGAAATCAACAGACGATGATGATGGTGATGGATCGCGTGCACTGGTCGAGACTGGTCTTCCGGCCGGCGTCGTTAACGTCAGTACCCACTCGTCGGAGGCCGGCTCCGCCCCCTTTTGCTGTAGAGTGGGCTCCCGGGCCCCCGCCTGGGCTGGCGGTCGGGGGTAGATCGATAGATGGACCACCAGTAGGGTTAAAAGGGTGGGCGGACTTGGGGTTCGGGTCGGGAACCCTGGGGGTTAACCTGTTGCCGATCAGGCAAG